ACACCGGGGGGACACCGGGGGGACACGAGGGGGAGGGGAGACACTGCAGGGGACATTGTGATGGAGGGGGACATGCTGCAGGGGACCCCAGGGTGGGGCACACACCACAGGGGACACTGGGGTAGTGGGGGACACCACAGGGGACATCAGGCTGGGAGGACACGTGCCACAGCGGACACTGAAGAGGGATACATCCCAGGGGACACCACAGGGGACATCAGACTGGGAGGACACGTGCCACAGCGGAGTGAAGAGGGATACATCGAGGGGACACCGGGCTGGGGGGGACACGCCACAGGGGACATGCTGCGGGGGACTCTGGGGTAGCGGGGTCACCGCAGAGACACGGCAGGGGACCCCGGGCTAGGGAGGGGACATGCCACAGGGGACCCTGGCGCTGCCCATCAGCCGGGTCCCCCTCCGATGGGTGCCACCCCGGTGCCACCGCTGTCCTCGTGGTGTCACCCACCAGCGGTTGCAGCGCTGGCGGATGCTCTGGCCGGGCCCGTAGCGCTGTCGCCGGTGGTGGCAGGGGCAGGCGGCGGGGGGGACACAGCCGTCCCCGTCCCGGGCCAGCCCCGGGCCGCACTCGCAGCCGCCGTGGCAGTGGCGCTGGCACGTCCCCTCCTCGGCGCTGCCCGCGGTGACACAGGTGACCGGGCACAGGGACACGCAGTCGGAGAAGCGCTGCCCGGCGCCGCAGCGGCGCTCTGGGGACGGGACACCGCGGTGGCACCGGTGGCACCGCGGAGAGGGGTCGGGGAGGGGCCCCCCCGCAGTTCCTACCGCAGAAGCCGGGACGGCGCCAGGGGACGTGGACCTGGCGGCGGGAGCACTCCCGGGAGTACGCGGAGAAGGTGTCGCAGGCGGCGGGGGGCGGGGGGACGGGGGGCGACGGGGGGTCGGGGGGTGACAGGGGGTCGGGTGGTGACGAGGGTCCAGGGTCCCCGTCCCCACACAGCAGCGCCAGACACGCTGCATAGAACCCGCTGGGGTCCACCTGGAGGGGGGCGGAGGTGAGGACCCCACGTAAACCCCTGGGACTCCCACACCCCCCAGACCCTTCCAGGACCCCCCAGAATCCCCCAGACCCCTCCAGAATTCTCCAGGACACTCGGAACCCCTCCCGAACCCCCTTTCTGGACCCCTTGGAGTCCCCCTGGAACCCCCTGGACCCCCCAGAACCCCCTGGACCCTCAGACCCCCTGGGACCTTCCAGTATCCCCCGGGACAGAACAGGATTCCCCCAGGATCCATCAGGGCCCCCCAGGACACTCCCAGGACCTCCCAGGACCTTTCTGGTAACCCCCTGGACCCCTTGGCACCCCCCCCGGCCTCCAACGCCCCCGGGTGCCGCTGACCTCGCCGTGGCACTGCTGGAAGGGCTGGGCCAGCAGCTGCCCGCAGGTGGCCACCGCAGGTGCCACCTCGCCTGGGCCACACCTGGAGCCACCCTCCGGCACGTCCCTGCACGGGGGCTGAGCCGGGGGTCCCTCAGTGCTGGGAACCCCCAAATGGGCACGGGGGGGTCACCCCGCCCCCCAGGTGTGTGGCACTGCCCAGGTACCTCTGTGCCAGCTGCCGGCACCTTCCAGGCGTTGCCAAAGGCGGCGGCAAAGGGGGTGACGTCCCCATCGGGGCCCATGAAGTCATCTGGGGGGACAGGGAGGGTGGGGGGACAGGGGGTGTCCCCCCTGTCCCCAGGTGGAGTGGGGGTGGCACCGGGCAGGTGGCCCTTACCTGCAGGGTCGTCGGTGTAGGTGCCGCAGAGCCCCCAGGTGCCCCCCCGCAGCTCAGGCTCCACCGTCACTGTCACCGCCAGGTGCCCGTCCCAGGCCACCCGCACGCCCAGGCTGCTGGCCACGGCCACCCAGTCCCCCGGCCAGGTGACACCGAGCCCTGCGGGCCGGGATGGGGACAGGGAACCTGGTGGCAGCTTTGCCACCGCCGCTGATCCATCACGGTGTCCTGGTGCCACCCAGCGTCACCGGGGGCTCATCCCCACCCTCCCGCGGGTTGGTGGCCTCGGGGACGCACCTCTGTGCAGGTAGGGGTGGCCCTCCAGCACCGCCACCCCGTTCGCCGACACATTCCGTCCCCAGGCCACCACCGTGTCTGTCCCGAAGGTCATGTGCAGCACCTGGGGCAGCACCGTGTCACCAGGGATGGCACCGGGACACACGGGTGTGCCAGGGACAGTGGGATGGCACCGGGACACACGGGTGTGCCAGGGACAGTGGGATGGCACCGGGACACACAGGGGTGCCAGGGACAGT